AATATAGTGGCATTTTAAAATGTCATAAAAACTTGTAAAGAATGTAAAGTAATTTAAATACGTATTTATTCTTCGCCTTCCTTCTCTAAAATCGTTAGGGAGCTACAGCGTGTTACATTTATGAAAAAGTAGCTTTCTCTGTACATTCTGCATCCAAAACGAGTAGGTTTAAAGAGGAAATACAAAGTATAAATAAGTCTTAGAATTGCATCCACATTCTTATAAAAATCCTAAAATACAGGGAGTTTTATAAAAAATTCAAAATTAGCTGCTATTTTGACAAAAATCCTGTTTTTAATGTATTTTATAATGTTTGTAACCAATGGTGGCAGAGTTAAGTTGTTCACCCAGAACATTGCTTTACTTGTTTTGACCTTAAAATACATTCAAGCGTGCATCACATTAATTTAGTAAAATAGTTATGTTGTTTAGCTCGTACAGTTTAAAGAGCTGCCCTACTACATTGCCGGAATAACATTACTGTTCGTAATGCAAATTAAAATCTTGATTTCACAGGCCTTGCGGTAAACAATAGTCTCTTATCTAATTCTATCCGGGACGCCATTGTGATCCTTGTAATGCCTTTGCTGAGAGTTTACAAACGGTGACGTTTTTCCAATTTATATTCAGTTTTTTTAATATTACGAGTAAATTGGTATTACACTTTATGTAGTGACATTGCTGCGAATACTATGTACACATTGGTATTAGGTATGTTGTTAGCTGAGTTATCATAATGAATCTATAGGCTGTAATCTTATATTGTGAGAAAATTACGAAATCTGTATTTTCATTTATTCCGGGTGATGTAAAGTTTAATAAATTGACTGACTGAAATGCTTCATGCAGGTGGATCTTTAATCGAGCTTACACATAATATTCTTATCCACTAAATCCCTTCAAACTGCGCCAGCGGCATGGACTATAAAACATTTTTATACATTCTTATACAAATACATACATTTATCAACGTCATCGTAATTGAAACTCTTCAATACCAGGTAAATATTACAATGAAGTGCCATTCTCAGTGGCTAATTTGATACCAGCCGTGAAACCGTGAGCATGAATTTTATCTGATGATATTATTAATTTAATACTTTTGAAAGAAATGGCGACCATACAAAGTAGGTATTTTAAGCCAAGTATGAATGGAGATGAGTGTAGGATGAGTGGCGCGATCTTGGAGTCTTGTTTGTGACTAAGGCCGACATTCCTTAGGCACAGCTGTTAATTAATAGCCCATACAGCTAATGGCAACTAAGGTACTAACAGGTTATAGTGGAATCCGAACCACATTTTTGCCTTGGTATATACGAATTGGTCTAATTATCAGGATAGTACTGCGGATAGTCGTAGTACTCACTCGTGTGGACGTTAATCTACACCAGAGAGTATCGTATCCACAGTGCATGCCTATAAATATCCACAATTCGTGACCTCCTAGTAGATAGTAGCTAGTAGAATTACAGGACGACGCCACCCGTCTCAGTCTAGAAAATCAGTTGAGTCTGTGAGATGACAAACCAGAGACATAAAATTTCCATACAAGTATTTGATATATTTTGCCATTTGTTTATCAATCATACAACAATAGAAAACTCCGTTCCAAAAAATGTGGACAAAATTATTATTTAATTGTGCAAAGAAGGTGTTTAATTCATGGTCATTGTTTAGTGTGTTTGATGTTCTCATAGACACTGTATGTATGAAGGTCAACAAGAGAAGTAAGAGGTTGGTTAGGTGTAGAGGGGCTATCAGTGAGATCGATGTTTTCCAGAGCTTGATTTATGTCCAGAGTGATTCCAGGAAAATTCTACCATCTGTCTTGTCAGCTGTGAAATACCGCGTTTCTTGTACTCGACAAAAAGATGTAAAATGCTGTTGCATCAGAGTGGGTTCTACCATAAATGGTTTTATTGCTACAAACGTTTTTCATGGAGATGAATATTTATATTGGCAATGTATTTTAGGACTTCATTATTTCGCATTTTTCTGCAATAGTTTCTGCAACAACATAAACTCAACAATCTTTTTGTATTTATTTATAATCCTTATGAATTGTATAGATGTATTGCATATATTTTGGATGTATTTAATATTCATTTCTCATATCCCCACCATTTATTATTTGATAAGTGGATATCATCGTAGAATTTGTCACCGTAGCAAATCCTAAATTTATCCCATTAAGGTTAAACCTTGGATCTTACGGTAAGACTTGGGACCGATTTAATTTTTCGTTTTTATATCCACTGTGTCTAAAACATCAGTTCATACTCATATTATATACTTAGTGTGAAAATTATCCGTTTTTGATTAAACTTCGTACAGACGAGTATACCTATGTTTATTCGAACGGGTCTGCAAACCAGCATTATAGGACTATGGGAACGGCGTTTAATGGAGTGCAATGGCCACATAATGTCCCCGTTGGTAGCGCTAGTATAGAGGGTGGAAGAAAGTAAAACATGGCCCGTTACATATGTTACACCGTCACCATGCAACTGGCATGTGCCATGTGTACATGTGCATGTGTGGAGCATGTGCCAGTTGTAGCGAGTTCTCTAGTTTTGCACCAGAGCTGATGCGAATCAAAGACGAGCCAGAACATGAACAACTTTTTTACATCATACTTAGTCATTGACATTTTATTAGAAACAAGGATCACCTTCTCCATCACAGAAAACTCAAGCACTCATTAAACTTAATTAATTTTGAAAAAGAATTAAATCTGACATTTTAAGCTAATGTTTCAGTGAACATTATTTTTCTATTTTACTAAATCAGTTAAATGGAAATTTGTCTAGCCTGCAGGTTTGCTGTGGTGGGGTCATTTTAAATTTTTATGGTTTTGAATATGAAATTTACTTGCCTTAAGAGATTTTAGGTCTCGCCAACGGTACGCCTCCATTCTCTTCAATCACTTGACTCTTATAATGAAGACGCCGGTCTGTAAATGTCTTTTAGCCTATTACTTGGTATTTCACCTAATTCTCTTCGAATGGTAATGTTCTTTATGGTACTTTTTTATGGTTTTGTAAGATATTTTCAAAACCAAAAATCCTTGTTTCTAAACATGCGTTCCTCTTAAAACTTCAACAGCAGCACGTGAGGAGCGTCGTTGAGGCCAATAAACAGAAGGTCTGCTCTGGACTTACGACCACTGAATAACCAAGGCTGCAGTTACGACGAAAACAATCACAATCGACGGAGAAAGTATATACTCTTGTATGGTTGAGAAGTGAGTCTCAATACGATAAAATATATTCTCTTAGAGACTCTTACTTTTTAGTCAGCTGAAATAAAATTTAAGATATATTTCTGTTCGGTAAATATTGACTTCGTTTTTATGTTCACCACCATTTCCGGTAAACCTACTTTAAACTATCCAATCAAATAATCTAATTCATTAACAAATGTTTGACCTCTGGATAATAATCACATAATGACCCAAAGACCCAAAGACCGAAACGCAGAGATTCTTCGCTATAATATGAGAGAAACTGTCACGTCATATAGTAGACCTCAGCACAGTGGTTATCGGACATGAAGCAGATAAATTAAGCTTCATACATCTATATATATAATATAGGTATATAATAGCCGACTTAGGCCATATAAATCCAATATTACCAAAAACAGAACCATAATAAGCTTATCTTAAGTATTATATCACTACTAAAGGATTACTGACACTCTCTGCTTAATGTACTGTGAAACTCGTTTGTAATAAAGAGAACTGTATGATGTATCATTTTCATCAATGTGTGGGAGGATGAATCAATCAATTAATTAATGGATTAATACATTGGTGGACCAATTGATGTGTGTATGGATTAATGGATTGACAGACTGATGAATTTATGACTGAATATTTCCATGAACTAACCAATTGATATATCCATGGATGGATGGGTGAATGGATCGATGGATCGATTGATGGATGGATGAATGCATGCATGCATTAATATTTTAACAAATTAATGGGTTAATAAGTATACACATGTATTACATGATGGTTGGATGGCTAGGTTGGATCTGTTTAAACATCCAATCATTTTGGATTACAATCAAATTTCAGGTCAGTTTAAAATCGTCGGAAGTCCTCATAGGTTGATATTGGATTCGATTCGATCTAATTTTATAATTCTAAATATAGGTTTGAGCAAACCGTGGTATATTTAAACTGAATTTGTTTTATAAACTAATAATAGTAACTTCAACTTGTAAATGTAATTTCGGCCTGCTTAACACAGGTAATCTTTTTTTGCTACTTCTAGCTAGCAGAAGCTAATCAATGATAGAATTATTGTATTTACAGATGTGAATGGGGATATATCAGTCTGTTGAATAATATTTCAGTATTAACAGAATCATGCTAAACGGGAACTTCATTTGTTAGGGAGAGGGGAAGGTTTGTTTAGGAAAGGGTAAAGTTTTATTGGGTAAGGAAAATAATTATTTTTGATAAGCAAGATCATATGTTTTCATACATTGAAAATTGTCGATTTTAATATAGCTGTACGGATAATAGCTATTTTCGTACACAAGAGTGATGAAAAACAAAAAACTATACGCTCACATTTATACATTTAAAATCTGTTTAGATAGAAATCCAATATCTTTAGTAGAGTCATGTACTTGCTGTATAACAGCATTTGCCTGAAAATATTGCATTCGACATAAGTGTGGAAATCTCGCGTCAAGATCGCTATGGCAACAAAATCAATAACATTTAATCGGCTGCCTTGACCTTCTTTGCAAATACAGTGGAGGATCATGTTGTAGTTTAGCTGATTATAACTGTCCACATCTTGCATTGGCAGTTTTATGTTTGCTAATCAGCAACTGTGTTGTGTTTTAGGCAAAAAGGATGATAAGGCGACTCAGTTACACACTATAGCCTCGCTCAAGGTTTTGCTAGTCTCAACATTGGACTATACATTTTGAAACCCCAAAACCAAGCAAATGTTCAGTAATATGTTTTCGTGTTTCAGGCAAAGTGGACGAAAAGGCGACTCAGTTACACGCCATAGCCTCGCTCAAGGTGCTGCTAGACGCCACCAAGCCTCACAACGGGGCTGCCTCAACCTCGGCAGCCAATCATGTCCAATCTACCCTAGAGACTCAGTTAGCTCAACAGTCCGAGCCCAATGGAGTTGCCCTGGGAGGCATTGAACCTTTGGTAAGTGATCAAGTCCATTTTTATCCTCTCTTATATAGTTCATTTTATATCAAAGAAAGAAATCACTGCTACCTATAAGGAGTTGAGCCTCCCGAATTGACTTCTAGTCCAGCATAAAACACCCCTTCCAGTAACAATTCCTTGATTCAATCCTGTATAATATAATGTGGTCCTAACATGGAACATCCCTAATATTCCTTGTACAGCAGTACAGCCCAATATTCTTGGCTCTCGTGCGGACGACTGCCTTGCGATCTGCCTACATGTGCTTTGAGGTATCTTCCCCTGTATTTGGCTAGGAAGCTTTTAAAATGTGTGAACTCAAAATCATCGGTTTTATGCCATTAAAGGTTTTAAATTACGTTTACTGGGGTAATTTCAGTATTTAATAAATCAAATGTCTACTTGTAAAAATACCAATGAAACCGGAGCTGTGAAAAAAACACTAGCCTACAATACATACCTTTTGGGCTTGCAAAAAATCATGTTGCGTAACTCACAATAAATTCCTAATCTTGTGGAAAAATCAATCTTGGGAATAAATCAAAGTATTGTGGCAACAATGAATGTCAGCTGATCAGTAAAGAAGTAAAGAAAATAGAGCTACCAACTTATGAATTTATTTACTCGATACACAGTGTCTTTTGGGTTTTGTTATTTGGATTGTTTTAACAAACCTCCCTGTATTATTTATAATATCTCCATTATTACATGTGTAAAATAGATTTCATCTAAGTGATAATGCCGCAACCCCTAAGTCTAGCCTGAAGTAATGTGAAAAACAATCCCAGGCTCGTGCCTAGCGTCCTAGGACAAAAGAGAATCTGTAAAATTAGGCTAGATAAATAAATTTATCAAGTTGTTGTACACGCCGAGTAATTTTCCTCCTCAGACAATATCTGTTTCATCAGCACAACAGTCAAAACTGTTGACGGGAGGAAATTAGATCCTTCAGAATTAACCTAAAGGCCATTTCTGAGGCGACGTTCCTTTTTGCTGCCCAACTCTGTGTGTGGAAGTATAATAGTTCCTACAAAGGGTGTCTATGAAGTTTAACACGTTATGTTATATTATGTTATGTTATGTCTTCTCGATACGTTTATTTAGTTCAGGAACACATAACATGCGTATACTTTGGTATGTTGTGGCATTTTTTTTAGATTGTTTTTTTAACATTTGTACCTAATAAAACTACTCACAGAATATTATTACATGTTATCTTTTCCGTTTAACCCGTTATGATTGTTTATTTGTATTTAGTACAAACAACCTTTTCGTGGTTCAATTTTAGTTTGATATTTTTAATTTTAGTTTTGACCTAAGTGGTCATGAGAACCAGTGGGAAACACACAAGAAGAATTCATGTTGTTAGCTTCCGAATCTCTCCTTGTAAATATACATTTACTAAGAAATTTAAAATAATGGTTATTTAAAAACACTTTAATGAATTACTTTCTGTGTCCGGAAATCAGATTTGGTTTTTCAAAAATTAGATACCGATTGGCTTTGTCATTCACATGTAAAAGAGCATCTATTGTGCAAGACTGGTCTAGGCGTGGACAGATCAGCAGATGGCTAGGGTACTGAACAGACTGACTTAAGATCCTAATTTTAATGACTGAGATATGACTGGCTAGGGTACCGGTTTTGACTCTCAAACAGACCTTCAACAGGCCTCAAGATGACTATTTTGGTTTATTTAGAATAGATAAACCTTTGTAGAACAATAACACACAAATTAACACGTAAACTGTAAACAGAAACATTTGGCCAATTAATAAAAAATGTTTATGTGCGGAGACCTATACGGCATGGTGGCAGACTGATCTAAACTAGTTTTTTATCATTGTTGAAAACTTCCTTTGAAAGACGAAACCGGTAGACTAGACAGACTACAAGAAACACTCCAGCGGTAAAAAGGTTTCAAACCACTACCTATTATTTTTAAAACATATTTTTCACCACACAATGATTTTTTTAGCGGTTTTTCATACGTTAATTGGTGGCTGAAAGTTACGTTTTGCTGGTCATGCCAGCTGTCATCGTCATTTGGGGACCGAGCAGGCTTTTACATCCCTAGGGCCGCAAAATTTGCTGCCCGCTTACTTTCTTAAATCATGAATGCATATACACAATCAGTATCCATAGCATTGCAATAGAATTGTTTTATTGTCACCGCTGCCTAGCAACTATTTATTATTATTTTTGCTGATTCCTCATTTTTTTCTCCACATAACCTTAGAGTTGTAGTTCTGTTGACTATCAGTGTGCATTATTATTGTGTTGAATAGTGGTAATAGAGTATAGTGTGGTGAAAAATAGCGTTCCTACCACGGACCGAAATGGTTTTACAGCTCTCGATCGTTTTAAGTTCTCGACTTCGTGTCAAACTTAAAAATTATCTCGAGCCGGCAAAACCTCATTTTCGGCCCTAGGTACGAAATATATTATTCTATTTCATTTGTGTATGCATAGTTTAAAAGGTTTTTAATACAAACTTTTCCTTTTGGTTCTTTAGTGCGTTTAAACATGTCTCTTGAGAAACTTTGAACTTTCTTCGAAAAAGTATCTCTATGGATTACTGGTGGGTCATTATTATCAGGTACTGTACTCTATGTTGATACTGTTGAAAGAGCGGAACCACGAACATAAGTGCTCCTTAACTAACAGCAAGAATAAATAGTTGCATTTACATTTTTTCAACAATAATATAAGACTGGAGAATGGTTCTGTTGCATTTATGTGTCATAATTAGTCAAAACGTATTAACTATGAAAAGGTGTATTTAATTTATTAGACGCTCAGTACATAAAACAAAGTTCGTATTTAATACACAATGAATAAGTTATTTAATAAATATACGAGAACTTAAGAAGATAGTTACAACACTGAACTGCCTACTAAGCCAACTACTCTATTTCATTATTTCATTTTTTATCAGTGTTTTTTTTTAATGGAATTTCGATGAGTTTTCAAATGCTCCAAATCCTAGATTTGTTACTAGGGAATATCGACTTTTGAAAATAGCCATACAAAGTTTTGACATGCCAATTACTATTTTCTTGAATTTGAATACCTGTAATAACTTGAGTCCCGAGACAATTTATTTCTACCAGTGTTGGGTTATCTTAGCCAGGAATACCTGTTATATTAGGCTTCAAGATAGATTCAGCCGAGTTGTATGTTCCTCGCAACTAATCTACAACTAACACCACTGCTCTAAATTAACTCTTTGTTCTTACAGCGGCGTCTGTAATTGATGGCTTAGCTCTCTTGTTCCGTTAAAGGCGCTCTGGGACATCCAACAAAATATGCATGCCTTAATAACATTAATTATCCTTAATTGCTTGTAATTGTTTTTGTAAAAGAATTTTCCCTTTTCCTTCAAATGAGCTTAAATACGTGTGAGGTTTTATGATAGAGTTGGTAGGACTAGTTTTTTCGTTCCCTTACAATACGTTAGCTTGAGCAATATTTTTTCCATTTGTTTTATAGGCTAGAATTTGACTGATTGCTTTGTCCTCCAGTTTCGGTAGTGTGAAATTGGCCAGATTACTCTTTTTTCCTTAGTTTAGGGCAGTTAGCATTGGACAGATTTTAGCGTTTTTCATCCTATTCGGTATGTATATGTATGTATATGTATATATGGTATGAATATGTAATACTGTACACAATAGTATTTCCCTCCTCTTTGGTAAGGTATACCGAAGTTAAACTGTGCACTTAAGTCTCAGATTTAGGAAATTTTTTTTATATACAGACTTGTAATGTATAATATAGTTTATAATTTCTGGTATTTATATGTATTGAGGGTTTGGGGCACAACCCTCATAAACGTATCCATTAACCAATATCATGTAGTAAAACGTTCACCGGAATTGTTGATGTGTGCCAAACTTTAAAATTAAAATTGTGCACAAAAACTTATTTTTAAATTTCGTAAAAAAATACAGCTAACTTTATAATTTACCAACCCAAACGTGTAATGTAATAAGTATGATTTAGTAATAAATAACTCAAACATAATATAATTTTGTATTAGGTTAAAAGTTGAAACATTCATTGCAATATGATGTTTCAAAATAATACAAAATGTATAATTAGTTCCCTGTGTAAGGTAACCAAACACAGTAACGCCCAGACAATTACCACCAATACGGCAGGTGTGTGTCCCAATATTGATAAATCTAAATAACGCAATCCTAGTAATTAATAATAGTAATTAATAACTAAATAAAACATTAGTTATTGATCATAAGCCGCTATTGATGTCCCATTCGTAAAATACTTTATTCAAATTTTGAAAAAATGTATTGGTTATTATAATAAACATTTTTACAGATTTACAAGGCTGGAGCTCAGGCAGTTAAGGGTTGTGAATGTTTTTGTACAAATCACATACCGACAGATAAACCGAAAACGGAATGAGATAGGACACATGTTACTTTACATTTTTATTTCTTTTAATACGCTGAATATAACGTGACAAAGTTTGTTCATATGGTTTCAAGACACCCTGTATATATGTGTGCGTTAGCGCAACAAAGCGAACAAAAATGATCCGATTTGGATAAAATTTTGTACAAACGTGTAAACCTACTTTTTTAAGAGTTCCCGAACAACCTATATGTATAAATAAATTTGAACGGAGGCTGTTTTTGGCATCTTGGGACCTCAAAACGAAAAATTAAGTTAGTCCCGGGTCCAGGTTTTACCATGAGAACTACGGTAATAGGTTATTCCCTATATGGGAAATTCGCTGAAACTAACCACCCCAACTATACATTCGACACCCACTGTGTCATGTGCAAACTAATCGATTTTGTCACAATATTTTTTTTCAAAGACGACGAGTTACATCGTACATCCAGTGCAAAGTTCCATTTGCCGGAAACGGAAAGTATAAACTAACGTCGGTAAACAATACAAGCGGTGGTGCCAACAACAAAGTAATGTGCGAGCGTTGCCAACTGCGCAACGTCATAGATCGAAGCAACAAG